GCACTCCTCAGTGCAAAAACAGGTGACTGACTAAGTGTTACTGACAGCCCTGGTAGAGGCCGAACGGATAGTGAATAATAGACCGCCCGTTCCGCAATCAGTCGATCCGCAAGCTTGCAAGGCACTCACGTCAAAGATTTGTTCGCCATAGGGCGGTGCGATTCGAGTTCTGAGGTGGAACCCACGCTAGACTGTTGTTATCTTAGATTTCGAGCAGTGTAGGATATTGCAAATTGCTTCTGGAAGCGATGGGCTAGGGAAACGTGCTTCTTCAAATCAGATCCAAGTGGTATACAAGACACAGGGACTTTCAACCGGGAGATTTAGTGATGGTGGTAAAGGAAAGCAAACTCAAGAATGTGTGGCCTTGGGGTCTTAGACAACAAATTAGGAAAAGCTAAAATGGAATGGTGAGAGAAGTAGAGGTAGANGAGGTAGAAATCACTAGTGAATCGTTCAGAAGAGATGTCAGAAATATCTGCCTTTCAGAAGGGGTCCTGGACAATGTTTCTGGAGGTGAACATGTGATTGGTTGACTCCAGGAAATGATACGTCTATTTGCTTATTGTATTTTGCGATTCTCCCCTTTTTCCGCTTACTGTGACGAACTGTTCAATTCCTTATCACTGGCGCTTATCATGGAACCTTCGATCTCTATTTGTTGGTTTTTTACTCTTCACGTTCATCACCAATGTGCCCCTCTCGTCTAACTCCTACCTCTCTAAATATTTCGTTACTTCAAAACCAATACTTTCTGTAGCATCACACACATGACAATCGACAAAGCACATAATCCAGAATGTTCGGCTATTCAAGTTAACTGAAACATTTGAGCAAAATTATGATGCTTTGATACTTTATTAAGTAACAGCGAATTCACGAACGTAATCAGCGGTTATTAATTTGAAAATGAATATCTCGGAGCGAAACGGGCCACAATTGAACATATTCGGCTAATGAACATTTGGGTTCATTGGCAACCTAATCGACACGGGGCACTTGGGTTCAGTATTCGGCTAATGAACATTCGAGTTTATTAGCCCTCAAGCTGTTCAAACTTGATCGACGGACTCACAGATATTCCTGATGTCATACACAATACCGGCTTGCGAAACCCGCACATGAAGCGTCAGGGAGTCAAAACGTTTTCTGATCGTTCAGATTGAATTACCAAGAAGCAATAACTGAACCCAAAACCCTGGAGCAATCTCCTTTTCATTCGTTAGTCAGAGGTTTGCTTACGAATCACAGTAATTGACCATTTATTCTTGTTTTATGTTTTATGCTTCATTTTAAACTTGCTATTACTCTCACCGTCACTGATTGGGAGCTACAGCGCCGGGCAAAAAGCTAGCTGCACAGTTTGATGGCTTAGGTCGCCATCAATCCCAGTAAACATGAATGCATGACTAGGTTGATTGCAGTCTCAGTCTCATAAAGAAATGGAGAACATCGTGCATCATCGACATCCGAGAGGTATTTAACTACGATCAACATCACAGTTGTAATCGCCACGGATTACTGTCAACGACTGCATGTCGTGGTCAGCAGCGGCGTGACTAGCTTTCTACAAATAATCAAAGAAAAGGAAAACTCCGTGTTCGCCAAACCCAGCTCCATCGATAGATATGCTTGATCGATTTCATATAACGATAATTTTCTGATTGAAATCGTCCACGTCTGACGGACGATAGTGCCTCGATTCCTATACATCCCGGCCAGTCGAGGCATTCGACCGACTTTGGTGGATTCTTACTCCAACCGACGTATTCACCTCCGGTCTCCGGCACCATCGTCGGGCTTGATGGTCTAACCATGTAACCTCGATGAGACGGACGTTTCAACATTGAGGTAATAGCAAATATTCAATAGGCGTCTACACAAACAAGGACGCAAGGCGGTACTCAAAAGCAGTTATTCAAATGTCAATTGGAAATATTCCATTTCAACTTTATGCAGAAAACGACAAGAAATCGCTGCGCGATTGGCGGGCGGTTTGACGGTCTTCGAAAGCTTTTGTACACAATAATTTTCTAAGCCTATTATCTTTCTTTTCTTATCTCTTTTTTCTCTCTTATGAACTCAACATTTAACAGCCGGCCTTCTCATTACCCGCTCGGTATCTTTGCGGTTTCTCTCCGCGATTTTCTCAATTGTTTGTCGTTCTGTAACTGGGACCTACGACGGTTTCGTAAGTCGCAAATATGTAATGATGTATGCCTATAATAGAAACGAAATTTCAACTGTCGTTCAACTGTTTTCCTACGTCAGTCGAGATCGAGACATTGCGATTCGTATTGAACGTTATTCGGATTACCATTACAACGGGCACGGTGAGCCGCTGCGACACACTGTTCTGCCCTTTTGTAGTATGCTGTCACTGGGATTCCTAAATTTCTAGCTTTCATGGTCGTTCCTAGTGAAAGACCGCCATGGCTACTCGCCACTATCAGCCTCTTTTCATCAGTGGTCAAGACCTGACTGTTTCCTTTTTCGAGAGGCAGATCCCATGTACTTGACCACTTGAGTACTTCTCCTATGTCCCTCCTTAATTCCTCTCTCCCATTCGATCCTACAACCTTGACGTCATCCACGAATATAAAGTTGGGCGATCATAGGCGTTCAGGCAGGTCATTGATGTAGAGCAAGAAAAGGAGTGGACCTAGAACTGACCCCTGAGGAACATCACTAGCAATATTTCCCTTGGCGATTTCGCTTCTCCTACGCGAACCACGAAGGTCCTATCGGCTAGAAAAGCTGTTAACCACTTGTGGATGTTACCCCGTATCCCTGGAGCATGTATCTTGGCCAAAAGTAAGCGATGACGTACTGAATCAAATGCTTTGCTAAAGTCCAGATAGCATACTTCCACTTGCTTACCCCCATCTATTCTCGCTGTGACTTTATCTAAAAGGCGCATGAGATTGCTCAGACAGGATTTTCCCTTCAGGAACTCATGCTGCGCAGCAATCAGTTACCGGTACTGAGTGAGGTATTCGCATAAGTGGGTTCTGATAATTCTCTCAAGCGCTTTGCACAAGATGCATATGAGACTAACTGTACGATAGTTTTCCACCTTGTGTCTCGGCTCTGACTTGTGTATGGTGACCACAGTTGCCGTTTTTCAGTCATGTGGTATCCTGCCCTGTTCTAGAGTTTTGTTGAACAGGCGGCATATTGGGCCCCCTAGAACCTCAGCTGTGTTTAAATAAGGCTGGGTGGATGTCATCTGGTCCGGCGGATTTGGTGGTGTTAAGCTCACCAAGAGTGATGCGCACCTGCTCCAGCCCCACATGTAATTCGGGATTATCCGGTCAATCGATATTGAGGTCAGGTTTTTCAGTGCTGCTTGGGTTGTTGTAAACCGTACAAACTCACAGCCAACATAATCAGCCAGCGGGTTTGCGCCAGAATCAGGAAGAACACAACGCTTTGGCCCATAAGTCTTTGAAGCTTGATTTTGATCGCATTGCNCATTGCTTTTTGCCCGAACAGCTTTGTTTTACTAAGCTAAAGTCGTAGTCATAGCCCAGGATATATACGAGCTCAAAATAAAAATGCCGAATGAAAAGGTCGACTTAATTCTTAGGGGTTTCAAGCTGTAAGCAATGATCAACTCACGTTACTTTCCAAAAGAAATTGGATGAACTTAAGGGATGCGGAGAGCGGGAAAATTCTATGGCAAAGTACTGATGATTTGTATGTTCAATCGATTTCAAAATTAACATATTTTTCAGTTCAGTTCCAGGAAAAGAGCATCAAGGTAGTTCCATTGCCAATCATAAAACGCTCTTCCAGCTATGGTACCCAAGAAAATTCTGCGTTGCAAAGCAGTTTCCAGGGAAATAAATTTTTCGTCATCAGAAGCTCTACAAAAGTTTTGGCTGGAGCAAAAGGTGTTCTTCAAAGACCAACCAGTGGAGGGTAAGATTATTTCATATGAAGCAATTTTCCTTAAATATAAGAGGTTTCTAGCAGGCCGAATCAAGTTTAGAAGCTAAAAATGATTATGGATATATGTAGATAACACGTTTATTTGCCCAAGTAGCACGAGTGCCCCTTTGAGCGTACCAAATGTATACTCCTGAGTATCTTCTTGAGTGTCCCCCTCGGGTGTTTATTGTGAAACCTTCAAAGGGATACTCAAGGGGACACTCGATAATCTGGTCTCTATCAACCGAAAATTATAGCCCCTTTTACGAATTCCTTTAAACCTTAGCATAGCCGGTTCACTAAACTAATGAAATACCTATTGGTTCGACGCTTACCAGCTACAGTCCATATCTCACGGCCTGCCTAACCTATCTCCACCTGGAAGACCCATCCAAAATACACATACTGCACGTATCAACAACGATTACCGCAAATGTAAACCAAGTAGAACAAAAAATATTACAAATGCAATTTTTATTCGAAGGCTAATCATATACAGATTTAAAAGCAATCATCCTCCAAAGGTTTGTAGTTTTCTTTATCATCATCTGCAAGGAGAAGGAGAATGATTGAATATTGGTATTTAAATTAGTTAATATCATCAGAAAACCGAAATGGATGTTGCAGGCAATTCCTACCTTCAACTGAGGTGCATGCTGGTGAATTACACCATCTGGTCATCGGCGGCATTTGGTCTTGATCTTTGAATCCACCGTTGTATTTTGACAATGATGGTTTGGGCATTAACATCTAGATAGTTCTTTCGCAAAACCGCATCTTCCAGATTTTTTTACTATGAGAAAACACACTGATTTACCAATGACCAGCTGGCAAACTTTGGTGTCCGCTCAAGCCAGTTTGCCATTTACTCCTCTCCAGTTGACTGCAATGAGTAGTGAGTCGGACAGTAATGTTCGCAATATTGTCCTAGTCGTGTACGCTGCAGAATGGCCTCCAAATTTTGAAAGATATTGCAACTGCATTGTGTGAATCGCCGAAGTTAGTCAACGCACCACGTTAGCGTATGTAGTTTTATCTTATAATTTGTTTTGTAATAGAAAATAGTCATCCACAGTAAGGACAGGAACGTGCACCGATAAAACGTTGCTGGTTCCCACCTCTGTTATCTGTTGACTCATTTGTTGTATACTGGTTTCCAGGTTTGATAACTTGGTTGTCATTTGTTTGATGCTCTTCTCCTGACAAGCTGACCAGCAGGTGTACGTGCACGGTGTATCTTACCTAGCATCACTTTGAAATTTTCATTTAATACTGCCACATTGTTACACAGATAGATTAGACACCTCGACAAATTCTTGACCTCCGTAGACAACCGATTGATCGACGGCAGGTTGCTTTCACTGGACCTTTAACTGCAATAGATATACTAAATGTGACACCATTACCTGTCTTTGGGCGTTGACACCGATTTCGGTGTGCACCGAACGGCTTCGGAATAAGTTTCTGAAAAGTAGCTAAATGAACTGCAATACTTATGGACTATTTTGTGTATTCTAACATCGTACAATTTTGAATTCGTTGGTGGTGGAAGTTGATGCGTAATCGTATGCTCCTTTTTGGCCAAAGAGCTTCTCACCCAATGTGATTTGTTGCCCTCAGTGACCCATGAGCTGGGCACAATGGCAACCGTGTTGTAAATGATGAACTCAATCACAACGAACATCTGTTGAATAAATATAAAGTGTTATAACATGTTATTCAATAATAACGAAATTGTAAACCACGATTTCCTCCGGGTGTGTATAATCGGGAGGAATACCCAGCTATCATCGTCCGGGAGCAGAAGGGCCTTGCACTGTACTTCCCTCCTGGTGATGGTGTAGTATGAACCAGGCGTATTACTAAACCGAAAGATTTTAATGTGTGACGATGGCAGTGGTTAAGAGAAGTAGTCTTCAACAACAGTGAACGATGAAACCAGAAAATTATCATCGGTGATTTTTTTGCTGACCGACGGACGGTTGTTGACCAAAACTGCATTATCAGGGCAGGTGTCCGTGTAGATAGTCCTTTCAATAACAGTTTGAGTAACATTCCGTGGTAAACGTCGTATCCGGTGTTTTCTAGTATCATCAAATAAAAGCACTGAATAATACAAACGTNCTGTCACGCATTCTGTGGAACACTTGTTGAGCAGGCGATTTCTTCGAGGATATAGTTTGTCTGATTATTTGCATAAAATAATCATATGGGAACGTGAAAAACAAATCTAGAGGTCCAAAATCACGAACATTCTGGGATAAGTGAATCCATTAATGAACGTTGAAAATGGCTTCCTGTTCACCGTAAAGATACATGTAGTTTTCCACAATTTTCCATCCGTTTTGATCAATAAAATCCATATAATGCTCATACCACTTCTCGGAACTCAGCAAATATGTGAACACGGAGAAGTATAGGAAATTTCTATACATATCTTCTGGGACTATGCCTCGCAGCACAACCGGACCTAGATACAATAGAAACTATCTGAATTCAGTTGCCTTCCACATTTCATAATCAGAAAATGGTCGGCATACACGCTGAAAATCACATGGAATATGGTTTTGCACCGTATCCATGTGTTCATCTGCCATCCTAAGCAATGGCCCAGAGATTACAATGCGCTTTGTTGCACTACCATGTCTCCATAAGGTGATCAGTTTTTTCATTAACCCCAGGCAGACAGCATGCATGTAGTCGATGGGGAACTGTTTAACCATGTCCATATTCAGAGCCTCAAATGGTGAATCACCAATGTGTTGCTGCTCCTGGCGGCGTGAACGGAAATCAGAGTCCGACCTGAGGCGCCCTTTGGTTGAAGGAAAATATAGGCGCCTATTTTCGATAACACCTTTGCAAGTACAATGACAGCAGCTGTAGTAACCGCTATGCTGTTTGACTTGTTTCACAAAACTTTTGGCTGGGGCATCCGCGATCAGGCCTTACAGAAGCACCTTAATCCTTTCACCGGTTTGCTGTAGGCGGATTCCAATTCTCGTCACGGTACCTAATTCCGCCATTGTGTCCGACAGGTATTCGTGTATGTCACCTGGCTTAGACATACCGCAATACAATCCAATAATAAACACACGGGAGCTTGGTTTCAAAGTGCGTCCCAGAATCGGCCACAATTGAACGGCGGAGTTCTTATACGGAGACAAACCGTCAATATGAAGCTGAAGACTGATGACTGGAACTGCACAAGAATCAACTTTTTCCACAACATGCTATATGCAATCCTCTAGGCCAAAATGAATGTTTATGGTTATTTCTATGAAATAATAACTTAAGAAACGCTAGGTTACCTTCCAATCCATCATAACATCTGTTTATACTGTCCGCAACCGGTTTGCTAACCTTAGGTTGCAATATATCGCTTGTGAAGGGCACGGGCTTAGACCTTACTGGTGTAAACCATGATGCGTAATTTACTCACTCTAATGGTGTCACGAAATTAGTTTCCTCTTGTACGGTGTTCTCATTGGAATAACTTGTCAAATTACCAGCTTTAGGGCAATAATCAATAATAAGATCGGGAACTAAATCCGGTAGATTGTCAGCGTAATCTGGAATACAATGTCTATCTAAAAGATGTGCGATATTTCTCACCATTGTCCGAAAATTGCAGATTTGTATTCAGACCAGTAATATCCGACAAAAGTTGCTATCTTAGTCCAGGGTTTCGTCTCCATTGAGAGATTCGTGATGAGCCGCGAATGTTCCGAATAATTGGTCTCATGATAAACCTACGGTAGAGATATTAGAGATACTAAGAGACGATATATATGTGGGTATGATATTATGGCAGATAGTTGAACAAAATCAGGTAATATTTAACTACAGAAAGGATATATGACTCACTGAATACACAGAGCCTGGACCTGAACATCGCGCGCATCAAAAATCGATTAACTGCTGCACACTTGAACAAATTCAACAAACGGATATGTTAAACTAGGATTGATTACAAAGAAATAGTAATATATTTCGATTTAATTGGTCATAAAACGTCCTAAAATCAATTAAAAAGCACATGTATGCTTTCTTAAATAAATAATTCAAGGAAAAAACCTGGGAAATCGGAAATCAATTTTTGGGCTTATTTCTTTCAATGTGAACATAATTACGGAAAGTAATGGTTAATATTATTCATTTCAGTAAACCGGATGATTACCATACTCTTGCAGGATGATCAATTGGATATTTAATGAGTGTCCCCCAAGGGGTCACTCAAGGGGCGTCCGAGTGTCCCCCTGTGCTACCTGGGAGTACTGTAGTACTACAGTGTTGGATTTATCTTGCACATATGTGTAGGTATTGTTTAATAACAATTATGACCAATTATGGTCATTAATAATCTTGGCGGGATGTCCTATAGGACTAGAGTATAAGTTATTAGTGTTTATATAACCCACCTCTGAATCCAGGCAATATATAGTCTGGATTGGCTATAGCTAAACAAATAACTACTATAATATTTATTAGGATTACACTAATCTTAAGGTTATTCTACTAATATTTATATATTTTATGAATTTATAAAAAGAGAAAGTCCTCTTATTAGTCGGTACTGTAATGATAATAATAAAAATTACTTTCCAAATGTAACGTAAATATAACGAAATTTATATTATATTATAAAACTGAAAATCGTTCATCGAAATACACAACTACCGGACCGCTTTTATCTAGTGAAAGCTTCTCCTTATTGGATTTTACGAAAATAGCATTTATCTCAAGATTTTTGAATCCATCGTCGGATTTTTTTCTTGAATCTTGAAATTCGTTTCTTCTGGAAACATCCCCATTGAACTGTCTGATATAAGGAAAACAAGGTTAAGTAAACGCAAATTACCTCAACGTTTGTCGTACGGTGAAAAGCAAAAAGACTATTGCTCTGAACGAGTAAGAAGGCGGACAATGCGTGTCCAGCGGTTTATAGAGCGAGACATGCAAGGAAATGTTTATGTGTGACGGAGTAGTCTGACTCACCGAGATAAGCGACCATTCCGCGGTTGAGCGCAAACAGATAATTGCACCTGGTGAAATGAAAGCCTGTTTTGCTCAGGAAAGAACTCATAGGCAATACGTGAATGTACCGTGTTACCAAACGTGTTTGCTTAGGGCATACCTTATTATACGTCTAGTTTAT